GCCTGGCAGGGGGGAGGGGGGACGCCTCGCCCTCATCGGCTGCGCTTCCGCCTCCAGGTCGCGAGCCGCGTGGTCACGTGGCGCCTCCCTGCAGCTGCTCGGTCTGGCTCACCCACTTGTCGCACATTCGAGGAGCAAGAATCTAGACCTCCTAGATGGGGGCGGAGCAGATAAGGTCGAATGATCTCACCGCTTCGCCGATGCATCGGCGATGCATCGGCGATGCGGCTCGATGTGGGGCTCGATTCGCTCCACGCCGAAGTCGCGGATGTATCGCCGACGTCGCCAGCTACTCTGACCCCATCTAGGAGGCCTCTAACATTCGAGGAAGAAGAGACAGCACAATCATAAATTCTTCCGGTACCGAACCATGGGGCCCTCGCAACTCCGTCGTTAGGGTGCATTAGCGTGCGCTAGCGTCTGGTAATCGATGAGAACGCGCCGATTTGGCGTCGATTCAGCGTCGATCGGGAAGAACAAGAAAAATGGCATGGCAGGCTCCCATGACTTGCCGCAGTAAACTCTCAGGAGCTCCGGGCGAATTCCTTGGATCGTCGCGGGCCCCCCTGGCGGCGCCTGCGGCGCCGCCCAAGGCGCGCTCCGCGCGCCAGGGAGGACGGGCCAGCGCCGATCCAAGCAATCCGCGCGGAGCTCCGGAAGTTCATGTTTACGCAGTGTTGTTGCTCTTCTATGCGACAAAACAACGCGATGGCTGAGGCAATGGGGAGGACTCCCGCCTGCTCCGGTGACGTGCCGGGCCGCAGCACCAAGATGCAGAAGAATGCACAGGGACAACGGCAGACAGTGTAGCATGCCTGCGAGGCGCACGATCTGATCAACGCCTTGACGCGATGTGCCAGCCTGGATCTGCGGTGGAGAAGTCCAGAAGCGAGTTGCAGATCATTCCAGGATGTCTCGGGCGCGTCTTGAAGACTCAGGAATGAAATAAACATACTTGGTTGGAGCTCCGTCCGCGGGGATGTCCTGGACCGGCGCTGGGCTCCCCTCCCTGGCGCCAGGGGGCTCGGAGATTCGAGTGTTTATGTTTATGTTTATGCGGTGTTTGTGCTCCTCCAGTGGTGATTGTTTTCTTCTTCCTTGTTTTGCCGATCGGCGCGGGCCCTCGCACCTCCTCTCCCCCCCCACCCATGGAGTGGATGTTGGCTTTTTTTGGCGCCTGTTTCGAGCAGGTGGGGTCTCCTCCGTAGGACGCACTGCTGCAAGCAATCGCATTGGGGAGAGGTCCGGAGCCAGCCCCCCCCCCCCTTCCGCCCAATGTCGAAACGCCGAATAAAAAAACGCTCATTATGCTGTGTTTGTGTTCCTCCAGTGTCGGTCCCATCCCGCGAGACCTGTACGTTGCACGGTGCGGGTCGCAATGGTCATCGCAGGATCGCGAAGGGTTTTTTGCAGCACGCAGCAGATTGTTGTCCACGAAGACACGGGCCGCTCGTGCCCACGAGCGGTAGGCTTTCGAGCGAGGCGAGGACAGAGGAGGCAAAAAGTTTTGTCGACACCCATCGGAGGGTCCTCCACCTCCTCCGCCTCCTCCTTCTCATCCTCCTCCTCCTCCCGTCCTCCCCGTCCACATTCTACAATTACTCAATATGAAAATACTCTCCCTCTTCCCCTGATGGCGTCCGGGTGATGGCCGCGCACCCTCCGCGTACTGTTTTTTACACACAGGATGCCCGGGAAATCCCGGGAAACGACTCTCGCTGAGGCGCCGGCGTCATTTTCGGGCCGAACGCCCCCCGCGTATTGTTTTTTTACACAGGATTCCCGGGAAACAGGTTTTCCCCTGCGTTTTTTCCAAAATAATGCTCTCGCTGGGGCGCCGGCTTCATTTCTGCTCCCGAATCGTTCCGAATCGTGCTCCCGCTGCAGCGTGGGCCTCATTTTCGGATCGGTGTTTGGCCTCCGTCGTTCAGGATGGCGTTCTCGCCCCAGCGCGGGCCTCTTTCTCGCGCGCCCATCCGCCCGCCACCACCGCGCCGCACCACCACCACCACCACCACCACCACCACCACCACCACCTCCATCACAACCAACACCAGCACCAGCACCACCACCAGCACCACCACCACCACCACCACCACCACCACCACCACCACCACAACTTCGCACACACGCACGCACGCACGCACGCACGTGCACCACCACCCACTACGCACGCGCGCGCGGAGCCACAGGTCCGCTACGACACGCGTCCGCGGATAGAGAAAATCAGCGCCATGGTAAGGGATGGGAGGGAGGGGTAGGACGTCAGATATGACGCGAGCGCACCTAGCTTGCCTCCCCCTCCTCCCCCACCTCCCCCGCCTCCCCCACCTCCCCCTCTTCCCCTCTCCTCCCCCTCCTCCTCCTCCTCCCCCTCCCCCTCCTCCTCCGTAGCCATTTTGGCTCAAGACTGATGCTTCGGCGGGCTGAGCCCGCATAGGCAAGATCGGATACCGCTAGTCCGCGGCAGTGCCAGAGCGCTTGCGCTCGACGTCCTTTCAGCCAGCACCGCAGGGGCTCTCTGGCGGCCCAGCCATTCTTCAAGACGACGCCATGGCGCCAGCGCCGTGGTTCAAAGAGCAGCCCAAGGCAGATTGGATGTGCAAGTTCTGTACGTTTCGTCGCACTGGGGCTCCTCTTACCAATTTCGGCAGCAACGAGAAGTGCTACAAGTGTAAGTTGCACAAGGGTGCGTGTTTCAAGTGCAATGTCCCCGCTGATCTTCCGAGCCGCAGCAAACGTCGTGTTGACCAAGGAGCTGGGCCTGATTCAGGCTCCGTGCTGCCCTGGCCAAGATGGAGAAACGCCTTCGGCTCCTGGAGGCCGAGAATGTGCGGCTCAAGCGAGGCGAAGGTCCTGCGGAGCCTGAGCAAGAGTCTAATGAGTCGGACGAGCTTCGTGAAGAGATCGACGGTCTGGTCAAGCACGTGCAATGGTTGGAATCGCTTCGGCTGGGATGGACATCTCAGCCGCTGTAACAAGCTCGCGTGCAACTTGAGGCAGCTCGTCGGAAGCTATATGACAATAAGTCCCTTCCAGCGAATTTTACTGCACTTTCGCGCAGAGCTGAACAAGCTCGCAGCAAGCTGCAGAAGGCCGAGCAGGAGAAGTGTGGAGCGGACAAGGCAGTGGTCAAGGCGCAGGAGGCCGCCGCTGCGGCCAACGCGTTGGTGGTCGAACGTCAGAAGGCGGTCGAGGACCTGGATCAGGGGTTGCGCTCGCTGTCGTCACAGGAGTCGTCTCCAGAGCCGCAGGCCATGGACCTCACAGGGCCAGATCTCAAGGTCGACGAGTCCAAGTTGCCGGTCGAGCTGCGCAATATGGCTGGCGTCGCCGACGCGGAGGCGCTGGCACCGTTGTTGGCGGAAGCGTTCAAGTCTCGCGCGGTGGAGTTCTTGGAGGGGCCGCCTGAGAAGAAGCCCCGGGCCCAGGCAGTCGGCGCCGAGGACAGCGGTGAGAAATCCTCCCGGCAGTTCGAGGACATGGAGCTGGAGGACCTTCGCGCCGACCTCGGCGAGCTGGCCCCGACGAATGCTGAAGAGGGAGATCTACGAGCTAAGGCGAAGATTCTGGCAGCAGGCGGCTTCCCCCCTCGGCGTCTACACAACCCTAACTATTGATTGCCCCCGCACGCTGCGCAACGGCATGAACATCGGGGGCATCTTCATCAACGACCACGTCACCAACGGGCCAGAGAGGTATCGGAACCAAAAAAAAAACCCAGCCAGGATTTAAGCCTCGCTACGACGGGGGTTGCTCTCACGCTGGCAAGTACGGCGGCAGGGGCTCCCCTGGCAACTCAGAGTTGCAGGTGTGCGAGTTCCACCAGCAGGACATCGAGACCCCTAGCACCGCGGTGCTTTCTTCTGTCGGAGTGCTGGGGGATGAGTCAGTGTCACAGCGGTCGTCGCGGGCTACGAGTTCGGCTCAGGAAGCTGCTCGAGCCCTTCGATGGGCAGCAGGTTTCGAGGCTCCATTAACGCACAAGCATCAGTCTGAGTTCACGCTCGTCACTTGCAACGGGAATACGTGGTCTACCTTGCAGACTTTCCTAGAATGGCTGGTGTTGGACAAACAATTACAACCCGATCTTTCACATGTGCAGGAACATCGCCTTCGTGGAGGTGATCAATTAAAGAGTGCGCAGAGCTGGGCTCATGCTCGAGGGCATCGGTTTCTTGCCAACAGCTGCCACATCACGGGTAGCACGGCAACATCTACCTCAGGCGGCGTTGGAGTGCTCGGCCTTAGTAACTTACCGAGCGCCCCATGCCAGCCAAAGGGGGAGTACGCCAAGTCGCGGTTATTTGTTCAGCGTGCGGTGGTTGGCAGCATGCAGATTTTGTTCGTTTCACTGCATGGCATCACCATCGTTGGCCAGTCAGGCAACATGGAGCTCTTCGCGTCCCTAGTTCAGATCCTACGAGAGTCCTGTCTCCCATTTGCGGTGGCTGGTGGCTGGAATGTGGATGCTGAATGCTTTGGGCGCGACACCTTCCTTCGGGCTGGTTTCTTAGGGCACTTGCACGCAGAGATCGTACAAGGAGGGCGACCAACGTGCAACGACTCGCACTACGATTACTACATCGTCAGCGACATCCTGCCCCCCTTCATCAGGAGCGTGGGTGTGATCGACGATGCCCCAGTGGGCCCCCGCAGGGCCGCGGCGCTGCGCCTGGCGGGGCCCGGCGGGTCGAACTTCGCGCGCCGTAGAGTGCATCATGAGAAGTTTTTGTTGCCCTCATCAGGGCAACCGTTCGTGCCTGGCGACGCCTCAACCTGGCCAGGTTTCGAGCTGGAGGAAAATGAATCCCTCGACAGTCTTGCACGCAGGTGGTTCTCCTCGGCCGAGCTTTATCTCAGCCTCTTTTGGGCCATTCCCGTCGCCGAGAGACCGAGGTTTTGCGGTCGCTCTGCTGGATGCAAGCTCGAGAAAGTTCCTCTGGCCTGCGAACGGGGAAAAAGCCTCCGACGCAAAGCAAGCCCCACCACCCAGCGTT